TTGCTGTAAGTCCAAGCCCAGTGTGGGCTGCAAAGGGAGTTCCAGCTCAGCCTGCACCAGAGTGTAAGAAACTTCCCACATGTTTCTGGGGAAAGTAAAACAAACCTTCAACTAGTTCACAATAGGAGTATAGAACTCACAAAATGGAGATCAACACCTTGTGAATTCCACAAATATGAAACTCCAACAACCAGAAACACCAGGTCATCTCTGCAAAGCTTGTTAAAGTTCAAGCAATCTCTTCCAAGAAGAATCTGTGACGTTCCCTCTAGACTTGCCTTTTTTTTTCCTCTGGGCTCAACTAGATGCTGCACCGCCAACTGATTCCAGCAGCCCACACAAAGTGCACTGTGTGGCCTGGCTCCTGCTGGAGGCGTGCGATGGAATGGAAAGATGTTGCTCGTGGGAGGGCAGGCAGGGCTAGTCTTGACTTCTGGATTCGCAGCTCATTCTGTGGAACAGCTTCGCTCATTACCCACATCTTCAAAGTCCCGAGACATCCTAAGCTGCCTTGATGTTTCGTAGGTTAACTCAGATGCCTCCGAAACAGTTGAAAAAGCTGGAGATTCTGGAGGGGGCTTGGCAAGAGAGCAGCAAGGGAGTAATTGTACAGTAAGCAGAAGCCACTACAGCTGTTAATGATAGGAAACAATTTGAGAGTCGAGCTTTAAAAAGCCAATGTGAAGATTCTAGAGAGAAGGGATCCACTGACTAAGCAATCTTGTCTTATTGACCCCCCCCCAACCTTCTGTCTTAAAAGAAGACAAACTCCTGATGAGAGCCAGGTCTGAAAGACATTCACCCTTGTAATTAAAGAGCCCTTCTCTACCGCTGTGTTTCCCATCATGGCATGGACAGCTCCTGGCACCCTCCTTCTGTTCATTTTGTCATCTTTAAAGCTGCAGACATCACGCACCCCTAGAATTCTGATACTTGGGAAGTTAAGGATTATGTTTTATTCTGGAATATGTTTACCCCAAAGCTCTTCATCTCCCGAAAGAAATTCATTTAGTCTCACCAAATAAGTCAACCAAACTAAGAAACATACAAATATTTGAAATGCAACATCAATTTCAATTTGAAAAATGAAATTCTGTGCTGAGACACACTAGTTGCATCGACAGAAATCTTCATTTTTTAAAATATATTTTCCTCTGAGTGATTCTGTTTTTGTTCCCTTTAAAAAAAAAATACCCGATCAAAAGAAAACTTTATTTTCAATCAGCTTAATGTGATTGAAAGCACTGAAGACATCTACAGTGTCATTTTATGACTGCAAAGACATTTCATGACTACATCAAGAAATACAGTGATGGGGCTGGAGAGAGGACTCAGCCTTTAAGGGGACCAGTGTTGTGGAAGTTTTGGGTTATGATATGTAAACATGTTTTTGTTTTAATCGTAGGTATGGGATATGGGGCTGATTCAGATGGTCCACAGCAGCAAACTATTTGCCTCATACAGGCTCTGAGTGGGGCTGTTTGCCAGCTGCAGATAGTTTAAATCTGAGGACTCTGGAGAGGGAGTAAATGCCAGAGCCCAGAGAGTTCTGGAAGGAAGAAGGCTGCTGGCGCTTCCACCCTGCTGCTCCCGTTCATGCAGCGTGACCAGAAGTTAGAGATCTCCTGAAACAAAGTTTGGACTTGTCCCAAGGAACCTGACAACCCTAAGCGGCAGGAAGTAGCTAAGGAAAACTATGTCCCCTCTCCCCACTAACCTTCTTTCTCTCCTACTGGTGTTGGGGTTTTGGAAGGGACTGGGGTAGAAAAGGGAGAACAAGGTATAAGAAACATAAATGAAATAGTTTTTTTTAAAGGGCACATTGGACCAGAGTTTAAACACCACACGAAAAGCCAGTCTTGGTGTTGGGGGGTCATGACCTCAATATTATTAGAGTTTGAGACAGAAGGATCACTAGAGTTTGGGGTCATCAACCTAGCTTCAGTGAGAGCCCCTGTGTCGATGTCAAGGAGATAAGTCAGAGAGTGATAAAGTAGGACAAATGAAGTCCTCCCCTGGCTTCCGAGCAAACTCACACCTGCGCCCACACATGCACATACACTGTGTAAGTCCCCCCCCTCTTTCTCTCTCTCCCTTAAATTCTCTTAAAAAATAGACTTTGGACTCAACTCTGTGCTTAAATAATTTATGTTATTTATTAGCTCTAACTATCCTGAGTGTGTGTGTGTGTGTGTTTGGTGTTTGTGTGTGTGTGTATACACTGAATATATATAATATTCACATGAGATACAGATCGTTGTATCTGTGTGTTTATATGTGCATGTATATCTATACATGTATGGGTTGTTTTATACTTTAGATTCATATATGATCTTCTAGGGATTAATTAAATCAACATCATTATTAGGGATCACCAGTGCTGTTCCATGTAGCTACCTTCCATTTATTTTCACTTAATCATAATACTTCATTGTGTTGATTAAACCACACTTTAGTTGTCTCTTCATTGGCACATGGCTTGTTTGACCTTCAGATGTTTCATCTTACACAAAGGGAAGAAACAGGGCAGGGAGAAATCTTACCTTGAAGAATAATGATGATTTACATGAAACACAAGGCATAGTGCCTACCACAGAGGATGGAATCCCTGACTAACTGTTCTTCTTACTTTAGAAGGAGATAGGTTGAATCCCAAAGCCCTGTTACGACTGTAACGCCAGCCAATATCTATGTGCAGATAAGTTTTGCTGTTGACTTTCTCCCTCTGTTGTCGTCAAACCTACTGGTTCTCCAATGGCTGGGGTTGTGACTCCCTTGGCATGTCTGACAACATCTGGCTGGTAGGGACCAGAAATTCTGCTTAATGATCTGCAAGGCTCCTCAGAAAATGACTGTCTCAAAGGTCAACAGTGACAGAGCTAGGAAGTCTTGGTCTGTCCTCTCCTGTGCTTATGATTGTTCATATTAGACCTGGAGGACAAGAGACCACCTTCCATTCTGTGTGAAATAAGGGTATGACTTCTTTGAAGAGATTATGTGCTTCAGATATAGGAAGTGATGTTTAGACAACAAGCATCTGCAGGATCAGAACATAAAGCTCTCCTACAAGAAGCCCTGTTGCTCAACCTTCCCTACTGGAAGCAAGACTCACATTTATTGTTTTCATTCCTTTTTGACCCCCCAGAGACATTTGTTTTTTTTTTTTCAGTTTCTCTGTATCCAGGACCATTTCTTACCATTGATTCCTCCATGCCAAGGCCAGAAAGACTTTCCAGAATCCATCTTTTCCTCACATCCCTGCCCTCCATACAGCCCCTCAATGACTTCACATAGGTCCTTCCCTAAGCCAAGTATCTATCTAGCACACAGGGATCTCTGTTGGGAGATCATTGCCTGCTACCCATTCTCAGGGCTCATCTTCCCTCTAAGGACACCTTTGCCCAAGCATCGTCTAATGAACAGTTTGGTCCCTCTTTGTTTGTATGTACTTCTCCTTCCTAGACACCTCCTTCTCTGTACCTGGTTAATTCCTACTTATACCAAAGAATATGAGCCCTTTGCTTTGCATAAAAGAATATAATAACTATCTCATCAATATGTGTCACCCCATGATAGAGTGATTTCCCAAAGACTGGAGACTGAGGCTTCTATCTTTTCATTTTACTATCCATGCTACTTACCTAGCATCTATTCTATAAGGACCACTGGTTGGCCAGTGAGCTGGATGATTAGAAGGAGGAGTAGGTTGGAAAGGAGGGAGGGAAGTTGGAAGAGAATAGAAAAGGAAGGATAGAAAGACATAAGAACAAGAAAAAAGAATAGGGGGAGAGAGTAAGGGAGGGAAGAAGAGAAGAAAAAAAATTTAAAAAGAATGGGAAGAAAAGGGAAGAAGGAGGAGAGAGAGGGTAGGAAAGGAGGGAGGAAAGGGAAGGAAAGAAGGAATATTAGATGGAAGGGAGAACAATACACACTTTGAAAGGAAAGAGAAAAAAGAGGGGAAAGTAAAGAAGGAAGAGGGTGGATAGACTAGAAGGAGGGATAGGAAGTAAAGAAGTAAGGACGGAAGTAAGGGAGAAAGAATAGAAAAAATAAGGGAGGGAAGAAAGCACAGAATGAAGAATCAAAAGAAGCTAGTGAATAATAGATATTTTTAAAGGGAAGGAGAAAGAGAGGGAGTAAAGAATGAAAGAAAAAATGGATGGAGGAAAAGAAAGAACAAAAACAGCTTTAAAGGAAAGAAGATGAAAAGGTGGAAATAAAGAGAAGGTGTTGGAGAGATGGAGGAAAGAGAAGGAGAGAGGAATGGGGGAAGAAAGGAAGAAAGAAGGGAAGGAGAAGGGAGGAAACGCATGGAAGAATAGATGGATGTGTGGATAAAGGGATTGAAGGAAGGAAAAAGAGAGGGATGGAAGGAGAGAGAGATAGATTGAGGAATGAGTGAATGAATTAAAGGAAGAGATTGATGGAAAGAGGGAGGGAAGAAGGGAGAAAGGATGGGAAGGAGAGAAATGGGAGATATAGAGGGAGGGAGGAAAGAATGAGTGGTGGACCAGATGGAAGAATAGAAGGAAGGAAGGAGCAAAGGAGGGGTGGATGGCAGGAGGGCTGGCTGGGGAGCCTTTCTCCAAGATGAAGAATGACTCTACTAAGACTGCCATGTTAAAAGAAAAGCCAGAACAGTGTATCGCTTCGACTTAGCCACTTTTATTGCACAATAAAGTACACCTCGCTGAAGATGCTCCCGAGGAATACAACGCATGAGGACAGAGAGAACCCCGAGATGTGGCAAAGCAGCTCTCCTCAGTGCCGTGGCAACAGAACAAGACAAGAATCTCCCTTTCTCTGTGCAGGAGGTCTTTACCAGTACAACCAGGAGGCTGGTACTTCTGATGAGTTCTCTGAAGCGTAAGCAAGTGGTGGGTGGCAGCTTCGAAAGAACAAGATTCTAGCTAAGTGATAGTGAGCTGTGCACAGGGCTTTCTCGGCTTCTCTCTGGCTTTCAGCTGTTCCTCTGCAGGAACTGGTAAGCTGGGGCAGGGTCAGCGGTCAGCGGGCTTGCCGGCGGCAGACTGGGGGGCTGCAGCCTCGCGGGTGATCGGACTGGCGGGTTTGAGCTCAGAGGGCTGGCAGGGAGTCTCATCTGAGACCTCGGGCTTACAGGGCGTTGAATCAGCACAGTCGGGTTGGCTAGAAGTCGACTTTTTGCCCTCGCGCTTAGCGTTGTCCGGATCGGCACAAGGCTGGCGGGAGCAGACGGGACGGTAGGAGTAAGAAGCCAGGCAGGTGGGGCGGCGCAGTATGGAATAGCAGGAGCGGTAGCAGGCAGGGCGGTAAGTGATGGATGTCACATATGGCTGCCTGATGGTGATGGGTCCAGAGCAGACAGATGGGCGGCAGATGGGACGGCAGGAAACTGGACTACAAGGCTGCCTGCAGGAGCTGGGTATGTAGAAAGTCCGAGGGGGGCAAGCTGGTTGGCAGACGGCAGATGCAGAGGACCCCGGACGGCAGCAGACAGGTTGGCAGGAGGTAGATGGACAGGAAACAGGCTCACCGCAGACAGAACGGCATCGTTTGACTATGTAGCACGAAGACTGGCATGGGCTGGGTACGCACACCGATGGTAGGCAAGGACTGGGCTCAGGGCAGACGGGCTGGCAGATAGTGGAGACACCACATGAGGAGTCTTGGCAGCTGCTAGAGATGCACGGTGGCTCGCAAGGGCGGAGACAAACAGGCTCACACACCAGAGCCATACAGGCAGCTGGCTGACAAGCACTGGCCTCTGAGCAAGGTGGCTCGCAGGGTGGCTCGCAGGGACTGGAGTCACAGCAGACTGGCTGGCAGCTACTGGCTGCAGAGCAGACAGATGGACAGCAGCTAGGTGTCGGGCACACTGGCTGGCAGCAGGCAGGCTCACAGACCACGGGCTCACAGACCACGGGCTCACAGATCATCGGTTGGCAGGAGACAGGCACAGTGCAGACAGCTGAGCAACAGCTGGGCTCACAGATCACTGGCTGGCAGGATGTAGCCAGGCAGAGTACTGGCTGGCAGGATGTGGCCTCACAACACACAGGCTGGCAGCTGCTCACGGAACAAGAAGGCTGGCACCCGGTGGCCTCACAGCACACTGGTTGAGCACAGGTGCTCACTGAGCAGGAAGGCTCGCAAATGGTGGCCTCGAAACACACAGGTTGAACACAGCTGCTCACAGAACAGGAAGGCTCACACACGGCGGCCCCGCAGCACACCGGCTGGCAGCAACTGCCCGCAGAACACGAAGGCTGACAGCACTGTGAGCCACAGCTCGATGACCCACAGCTGTCATCACAGGTCACCAGCTGCCACGTCTGGCTCCGGCAGGAGCTGGGGAGGCAGATGGGTCCTCCACAGCTCACCTCAGTAGAGCAGAGAGAGACGGCTGGCAGGGAGGGGCATTTCCTAGAATAACAGCAGCCAGACATGGTGGAGGTATCTCTGCTTCTGGTGAGTGCTGGGAGGTGGCTGCCTCTGAGTGTGACATCTTGCCAAGGCCTCTCCTTTTTATACTCCCTCACTGGGGCATGTTGTTTGGGGGGGGGCAGCGCATCTTTTCCTCATTGTTGTTTGGGCCCTGTTTCTGGAAGGACATCTTATTATGTCCTTTTTGTTGACCTAGAAGTTGTTTGTCTGCCCATAAAGAAGATGCTTGTTTACTGACTTGCTAAATATGGAAGCCTCAAAGCTACAGACAGTACTGGGATGAGCCTCATCAGGATCACGATGGATGCTCTGTCTATCCTAGCATTGTGAAGAAGGAAAGACGAAAGGAGTCTATAATTTAGCTGCCTTCTACCCTTCCACTTCTAACTCCCGGTTCAGGCGCAGATGTCTACCTCGGAAGCACATTAGGGAGGGTTGGAGACACACAGTGAGGAGTTCAGTCATAGGTGGGACATCCAAACTGAGCTGTCAGGGGGCTACAGCCCACAAGCCGTCCTGTGGGGGTTAGAGTACCCTCCCCAGTTGTAGATGAAGAACGGGGGTAGAGCATGAGAACGGTTAAGTCATTTGCTGAAGGTTGCTCCCATCCTCTCCCCATACAGGCTTTCAGAAAACTGAACTTCTTTTAGGAAAAAAAGAGAGTATTGCATTTATTTGTTATGCATGTATGAACACATGTGTTCACAAGTATGTGCATGCATGTACCATGCACACCTGTGAAAGCAAGAAGTCAATTCAGGAGTCAGTTTTCGCCATCTACCATGTACATTCTGGGGATGGAACTCAGGTCATCAGGTCGGGTAACAAGCACCTTTAGGGTTGAGCCATCTCACTGGCTCCAAACCTCAACTTTCTTAGCAGACGTCATTCATGTCATATAGAATACGTTCAACCAATGCTGCTCCTTTCCATCTTGTTCTATTAGCTGCCCTACCCAAGAGCATTGGTTCCATCTTTCCCTGGGGAGCACGTGGCATGGTCTCTCTGCTTCCCCTCCATCTTTCCTTCCATGTCTTTCTCAAGTGATCGGTGGGTCTGCAGAGTCTCCTCATCACAGTGGCTGGTCCAGTGGTTGTGCCCGTTCCCTATGTGTGGCAAGCACGAGGGGATGATGGTGCTGAAGTGCCTGGCTGTCTCAGCTTCCACACAGGAAAGACCCATTTTGAGAGATTTTGAGATCTCTTAGGAGGAAGATGGGACCCGCAAGATGGTTTAGGGGTAAAAGGAAAGTACCACCAACCCTAACAACCTGAGTTACATCCTGGGAACTCACAGGATGGAGGAAGGAGAGTGGAACGAGAGAACCAACTCCTGCAAACTGTCCTCTGACCTCCACACATAGGCCACGACCCATGCATACCCACACAGAGAGACACAAAATAAGGAAGTGTGACGATATTAATTTTTTACCTGCATTTATTTTATGCTGACTTTATCCCACTGTCGTAAGTCTTTGTTTCTTCAGTTTCTTCTGGGATTATCTTATTCTTCTGTGCAACCTTCCTTCTGGCCTTGGAACAATTTGTTCCTCTTCAGTGAGGATGGGATCGATGTGGCGGGGGTTGGGGGGTGGGGGTGGGTGTTCATGCGTGAGTTAATCAGGCCATGAGCCCTGTAAAATTATCAGGGAATCTTAGGTGCTTTGCTCAATGGATATGCTCGATGACTGGAGAATTGACATCTAAGCTCTTATATTTGGCATTAGTCTTTACTTTTTTAAGCATGTGCAGCAAAAATTCAGCTCTCTTTTGGCCACTTATCCTGTGTCCCCAGCCCCAGTGTTTGGCCCGGGCACACTACCAAGTCCTCCAGTATACGGCTGGAATGGCACACATGGCTTCTTTAAGGTGACATCTTTCAGATACTTGGTGCTGTTTCTGATATGCAAATCCTTGAGGGATGGGCAGTTTCCCAGGTGTTCTTTTTTATTTTTTATTTTTATTAATTACAGTTTATTCACGTTGTATCCCAGCTGTAGCCCTCTCTCTCATCCCCTCCCAATCCCACCTTTCCTCCCTCTTCTTCTCCCTGTCCTTCTCCTATGCCCCTTCCCCAGTCCAAAGACAGGGCAGGCCCTCCTCCCCTCCCATCTGACCCTAGTCTATCAGGTCTCATCAAGACTGGCTTCATTGCCTTCCTCTGTGGACAGGTAAAGCTGCTCCCCCTTCAGGTGGAGGTGATCAAAGAGCCAGCCCATGAGTTCATGTCCCAGGTGTTCTTAAATCGAACACAAAGATTTGAACCTCTTGATTTGCATGATTTTTGTAGGGTTTACTAGGTCAAGAGAGTAGAGAACTATCGTCACAGATCATCTCAGGCCACTTACAGGAAGAGCAAATATCAAATTTTTTATTTTTATTTTTTAATTCTTTATTAATTACACTTTATTCACTTTGTATCCCCCCTGTGGTTCCCTCCCTTCTCCCATCCCAATCCCTCCCTTTCTCCACCCTCTGCATGCATGCCCCTCCCCAAGTCCACTGATAGGGGAGGTCTTCTTTTCCTTCCTTCTGATCCTAGTCAATTAGGTCTCATCAGAAGTGGCTGCATTGTCTTCTTCTGTGGCCTTATGGGCAACCTTTGGGCAGAGTGCAGGGAATCTTAGGAAAGAAGTGGCAAACAGTAAGATCTGGAGAGGACAGGAACTCCAAAATGAGAGCAACAGAACCAAAAAAAAAAAAAAATCTGAGCACAGGGGTCTTTCCTGAGACTGATACTCCAACCAAGAACCATGCATGGAGATAACCTAAGACCCCTGCACAGATGTAGCCCATGGCAGTTCAGTGTCCGAGTGGGTTCCATTGTAATAGGAACAGGGACTGTCTCTGACATGAACTGATTGGCCTGCTTTTCAAATTTTTTTTTTAAAGGAAAAGACTTCCAGGATTCATAAATTGAAAAGAAAACAAAGTGACTTTCCAGTTTGGTCCCTAAGCATTGCAAAGACTCCTCTTTGCTACTATTTGAATAGAGGTGAGAAATGAACCACAGGTTTTCAAACACCAGAGGTAGGCCTTTTTGCCCAATGAAAGGCCAGTCATGCCTGTGTTTTCAGCATTAGTATAGTTTAGCCTACCCTGGAAAGTTGATCCATTTGCTATCAATCACCTGTTCCTTCATACATTAATGTATGTAATTATTCATTCAGTTTCTCTTTGATTTATCTCAACTAGGACAGCACAGGGGGATACAAAAGAACAACGAGCAATTTCAGTCATGTGCTACAGCTTAAAAGAGATTTACAGCCAGGTGGTGATGGCGCACACCTTTAATCCAAGCACCAAAAGCATAGAAAGAGAGAAATTTACACACCCATGAGCAATTATGACATATAGCAATGGTTATTGTAATAGAGGACTGTGCAAGCACTTTAAGGATACTGGAAGAAATATTTATATGGGGTTTATGAAATTGGGAAAGTTATTCACAAGTAATAAATAAAATGGCCAAGAGAATAGTCCGGGAATGGTGATTAAAGCCCAGCCTATAGAAACCAAAGACACAAGAGCAGGATACATTTGGGAAATAGTTTGACAGCTAATACAGTTGGCACAGTCAGAATGAAGAGCACGGGAGACAGGAAGAGACAGTGGTGGGTCCATGGTGGTTACCTAAGCACCAAGCTATAGGAAGTCTTGAGTTAGAAATTAGATTTAACAATGGTACTTGGAAGCAATGGATTTGTGATTTTAGAAACCTCTTCCTATGGAGATAGGAGGAATAAGACAAATTTAAAGATGGAGAGAAACCGTAAGAAATCTGGGCAGTTACCCAAAAGCATCCTGGTGACAACCCGGATCTGTTAGCTCTTCGGACTAGAGCAGTAGGAGAGGTTTTAAGGAGGAAGAATCTAGAAGTGTCCATGGTTGAGACTAGAAGGGACAACGATTCTTTGAGATATGCCTTCTGAGCAGTGGTGAAAGAGTACCTTCCAACAGCCTTGTAGAGGGAGAGGTAGAGAGTTCTTCAGCTCCCTGCCACTCATAGGTTCCTCCCCACCTGCTCTCCTTCCTCAGCTAAGCCGGTGATGGAATTGTGGCTAGTGACAATTCTCTCAAAAAAGAACTCTCTGATGAGAGCTGACAGGGCATTGTCCTTCGCTTTAGGGTGTTATCTCCTCAAAGAATCCTCCCCTGCTAAGTGAACTGGCAGCTTTTCTGACTATGTAGGCTGTTCCTACTTGATCCATCTTTAAAGCGCTGCTCACCTTTCAGCATCATCCAGGTGGCATAAGGGCAAGGACTCAGTCTATTCAGTGCTGCACGCCTGGCACCCAGAGTCGAGACTGGTATGTAAGCGGTGCACAATTACTATTTACTGGATGGACAAATGAGAACCTCTGTGTGCCACTAAGAAGGGCAGCCCTTGCTGGTAACTCAAAGAAATCACTACCTCTACTCAGGCATCCGGGTAACACGGCCATGAGCAATGGACTGATCAGCTGCTCTGAATCACAGGGACTCTGTGCAGAGCCACCGGTCTTTCGGCAGGTTTGTCCCAGTGTCCCAGTCGCTGGCAGGATGTTTCTTCTGCAGCTGTGATTAAAAAAGTCTCTCTTCAAGAGGCCAAGTATATGCAGAGTAAAAAGAAATTATTTAATAGAGTCTGAGATGGGAAGAGAGCAAAGCCAAACCGCATGTCTTCTAAAAGCAAGACACGCTACAGCCATTTTTCATAATAAAACAAACTTGAAAGCACAATTGGCTACAGAAATATACATGTACATATATGCAGCATATAATGGTTGAAAATAAAAAGACTGATAATATCAAGTGCTAACAAGGGCATTAAGCAACTGGAACCCTCAGACATGGCTAATTAGAATACAAAATAGCACAACCACTTTGCAAAACAATTTAATATTTTTTCACATACTTAAACATTCGATCGCCATTTTCCCAGAAATACAATTCCTAGGTTTTTTCCAGAATAAACGAAAACTTACGTTTCTATAAAAACTTGTGCATGAATGCTCCTGAAAGTTTTATTTCCAATGACTAAACATTATCAACACCTCAAGCACCTTTTGTTTAATGAATGAATGTTCAATATTGTCTATCCATACAATGAAACACAAAGTACTTGTTGAACAAGAACAAGGACCTGAGTTTGATTCCCAGGACCCATGTCGTTATTGTTTTCAGCTTGGCAATCCCGGTGCTAAGAAAGTGGAGACAGGTGGGTCCCTGAAACTCACTGGCCAACCATTCTACCTACTTGAGGGATTCCAGAGCACTGAGAGACCCTGACTCAAAAGGGAAAAGGTGAACAGCGCCCAGGGAACGTAGCCAATGCTGCATGTACACCCAAATGCACGTATGCAGTCATGCAGAGGAACACGGCACATGCGCTTACGCGCACAGAGAGAGAAACAAAATTGATACTGGCAGCAATGTGAATGAGTATCAAAGCTGTCACAGTAAACGAGAAGACCCACACTGTATGATTTCTTTCTTAATGAAATCCCAGACATGGCAGAATGCCTATAATATAAGGAGCTCATTGCTGCCAGGGTCAAGGGAGGAAGAACTACTGACAGAAGAAACCAGGGAATCTGGTGGGTGATGGAACCTTCCGTGAACTGAATGCACCATGTTACCACAAGTACAGGACGTACGATGGTCAGATCTGATCGGACTGGATGCCAAAAATGGTAGCATTTAATCATATGTAAATTACACAGCAGTAAAATACATTGTCAAAGTTTGTGAAATTCTCAAAAAAAAATGTGCTTTTTTGAGGGATTATTTTTGTGTGTGTGAAACAAGAACAAATTTAAAAGCATCATAGTAGAAGCAGCCTCCTGCTCGTGCTTGTGAATTTGCTCATGGGGGCTTCCTGAAACATGTTTCAGTAAGAAAATCTGAGCATCCAACTGGCTGTTTCTCCTTTCTATGCTCCTATAGTTTGCTTCCTTTTAAGAACCATTGTTCTGTTTATAGTCAGGGATCAGATATATAATATATATCCTTTATATGTAATATTCATATCTTTTATGTAATATATATTTGTTTATGTGATATACATATTCTTTATATAATATATATTCTTTATATGTGTACAATATATTCTTTATATATATACTCTTATATATAATATATATTTTATATAACATATCATTTTATATAATATATCCTTTATGCAATATATATTCTTTAGATATAATAAGTATATCCTTTATATATAATATACCCTTTATATAATGTATATATGGCTAAGAATTAAGGCACATGCCTTTAAAACCAGCACTAAGGAGACAGAGGCAGGCAAATGAGTTCAAGGCCAGCTTGACCTGCATAGGGAGTTCCAGGCCAGCTAGAGCTACACAGTGAGACCCGCTCATTCCCTCTCTTTTCTTTGTAAAAGTAAAAACAAATACTGTTCTCCCCGTGAAAGGACAGATTTTATTTTAACCACGTCCCACTTAAAATCATTTTTTAACAAGTTGAATCCACTATCATTTGAGTTTTAACTTCCCAGCTAGGCTCTTTCAGTATCTGTGCCCCTTCCCTTCCTCTCAGTGGAGTATCTGCAGCTGGATCCAAGACAAAAACAAAACAAAACCTGCTCCTAGAAGGGAGCCAAGACCAAAACATGAGGGTGAGAGTCAGAACCACACAAATGCCCTCAGAAACTTTGTGTTCACACAGTCTGGCCACGGTATTCCCTGCCGTTCACAGCCAACATGGGATGAGTTTATAATGCCACCTGCCTGGAAGGCTGAGGCAGGAGGACTGTAAGTTTAAGGCCAGCCAGGGCAACTTAGTGAGACCCTGTCTCAGGACAAAAAGTAAGAGAAGGCCTGAGAATGCAGCCCAGTGGTAGGAGTTTTGCCTGGCATGCATACGTTCAATCTCTAGCATTGAAAAAAAAATTAATGTTCTTTTACCTCCTCCCATGAGATTCAGGCCAATCTTGAAGTCCTGCAGAACTATCCTGGAACCACAATAAAGAAAGTAGGCACGCATCCTGGGCATGACTAAACACGGCTAGAATCAGCCTACCTTGAAGCTTTTAGAAACATGGCGCTCAGGCATCCCAGGTCCTTGAGCTATTAGGTACCACAGCTAATGGTGACACCCAGGTATTGGGCAAAGCCTCCCAAGGCGAATCTCACACTGTGCTCAGAGGCTTCTAGCTGCAATCTGCCTCCACCCTCCACCCTCCATGTAAAGAGTTACCTGTGTTCCTGTTAAAAACGCAGATGCCCAGGCCACACCGCTGAAGCATCCCTTACGGTTCAAGGAGGGCTCCAGAATCTACAGCTTTAACCAGCCTCCCTGGACCCTGCTTCAGGAGGTCAACAAACATTGGGCAGTCCCTAGCTGGACGCCAAAGAAAATCTTCCTAGTAGCCCCTAGGAGGGTTGAAGGAAGAGGCAAGAAGATTGATAGGGTAGCCAGCATGCTTGAATTTATTAAAAAGTTGACAAAGTTTCGCAGGAGCAGAAAGCTAGGGTGGACCAAGAGGTCCAAAGCTTAAGAGAATGCCTCATGGCTACAAGGCATTTGACCTCATGCAAACGAAGCCAGGGAAATTGAACTTGGTGACCACCTCTTTGGAACCCAGCTTTAATTTCTTTCCAGGAAATGGCTCTTTGGTCCTGAGTGCCTTAGACACCAGGGCAAGCTCTCAGAAATAACACGAGAGGCAGGTCACTGTCTTGGAGATATGAAGGGGTCAGGAGAGGAGGAGGTTTCCATAGGGAGCGGGTGCAGGCTCTCCCCTCAGTTATAGCGGGGAAAGTCTTCATTTCGTCTCGCACACAGGTGAGGGCTGACAGCACACTGGACCACAGCAACCGCAACTGTTCGAGCCGCAGCACCCGCTGCCACAGCAGCTGCTTCCACAGCCCCCGCAGCCCCCGCAGCCAGATCCGCAGCCCCCGCAGCCAGATCCGCAGCAGCCAGACCCGCAGCAGCCAGATCCGCAGCCAGAGCCTCCGCAGCCACAGCAGGAGCCACAGCAACCGCAGCAGGAGCCGCAGCAGCTGCAGCAGCCCTGCTGGCAGCAACACTCCTCACAGAAGTCTTGTTCCTGGGAGCAGCAATTGAGGCAGTCTCCCGGGCAGCATCCCATGGTCCCAGCCGGTAAGGTCGCAGGTCAGGAACGCGGCCGAATTTCCCCTAGGTCTGACAGTGGCCAGCTGGACGGCAGCTTTTATATCCCCTCACCCGGGGGTGTTGGCACGGGGCACAGGATGTTTGCTTTGTTATTATTTATTCTGGTTTCCATAAGAACGTCTCATTAGCCGGCTGTTTATTTTCCAGCCGTGCGTACCTCAACTCATAAAAAAAAGCCCCACTCGTCCCAACTGCTATTTGTCCAGAGGGTAAAAATACATCTGAGAAAAGACCTGTCATTAGCCCAGGCTGGAGAGAGGAAGGGAAGCTGGCCAAGGAATCTGCTCTGGCTCCTCTCCCACATCTTCTCTGGTGGCAAAGAGGAGACTCTTCTCGCTGGCCATGTAGCCTGTTTTCGTGGATGCTGACCCTAGGAAACTAGAAGAGTAAGAACGGGGTGAGGCTTCTGCTTGCACAGGGGCTGTCGAGGGTCTGGTGCTGTGGCTCATCCCAGGTAGAATGGCATTCTCTTCCCAGCCACGTGAACAAAGCAAATATTTGTGTCTGTGTGAGGTATGTGGATGCGTGGTGCACTTTTGTTTATTCAGGCTTGGCGGGTGAGCATCAGTCACGAGTAATAACTGACTTGTGAAATGCAGATAGACTCGTCATAAAACTGCAGAAGGACAGGGAGCCACATTCTCTCCAGGCTGCGATGAGCTGGACATTCACACAGCTCAGGGCAACACTTGCTACCCACAGCCTCAGGCCTTTCCAATGCAAGATGGAGATGAGGGAGGGAAGAAGGAAGGGAAGAAGGCAGGGAGAGAAAAGAAAGGAATGAAGTGAGAAAAGAAAGGAGGAAGGGAGGGAAGAAGGAAGAAGAGTGAGGAGGAAATAAGAAAGGAAAAGGAAATGGAAAAAAGGAGAAAGAGGGAGGGAAGAAGAGAAGGAGGGAGGGACAAAGAAATGAAGAGGGGAGGAAGGGTGGGAAAGATGAAAGGAAGATAAGAGGTATGGTGGAAGGGAGGAAGGAAGGAAAGAAGAGGGGAAGGAGGAAGGAAGCAAGTGAAGAAAATGAGAAGGTAAAGGTAAAAATAAATGAAAGAAGGAGAGAGAAGAAGAGAGAAAGAAGGAAAAACAGGCATGAGGGAAGAAGGAAAAAGAAAGAAAGGAAGGAGGGAGAAATGGAAGGGAAGAGAAGAAGGAAGAAAAGGAGGAAGGGAGGCAGAAAAAAGAAGGAAGAAAGGAAGTAAAGAAGGAAAATGAGAAAAGAGAAGAAAGAGAGGGAGTGGAAAAGGAAAGAGGAAGGGAGAGAGGGAGGGGGAACTCAACGCTTAAGAATACTTGTTGCTCTTACATAGGACCCAGCTTTAGTTTCCAGCACCCACATTGCCACGAACGGGCCCAGCCAGGCTCCCGGCGTCCGAGGGAGAACAAGGCTTTGGACAGGAAGACACGGATTCGGCAAATTGACAGACAGAGACCAGTTGAGGCTTTGGAATCTGCTGCACTTTTACTGAAGTCAAGCGGATAATTTTATAGTGATCTCACAAGGAAGCACCTTAAAATCGGCATGCTTCCCAGAACATTCAGACTTTTACCAAGGATGCAAAGTTTATGTTTTAACATAGGACAGTGCCCACAAGAAATCTTTGCCCAGAAACTTTCTGATCAACGCAAACAAGAAACAAAAAACCTCAAACTGTGGTTTCATTATCACTGACTAGTGAAGAGGAAAGTCAGGAGCTGTAATAGTCCTTCGAGCCAAGTTGAATACCTGCCAAAGTCTAAACACACCTTTGGCAACCATCCTCCCTTATGTCCTGCTAAAGATTTATCATCTTCCCTAGGAACAAGATGTTGAAGGGAGGGGTAAACTTGTGCCAGCTGTACTTCTCATGTTATTTTTTCTTAAGAAGGAGCCCATTATTTCTTTTACTATTCCTATAATGCCTTTTGATACTGAATCTAATTTATTACTTTTCTTAAGTTTATTCTTTTTACATTTTATTCTTATTAAAGCCTTTAATAATTTACTAATGATAAATTTCTTTATAGAGTTAGTTGTACTGTTTTAGGAGTCATAAAGAAAGATAAAAAAAACTCATTAATCCAGCCCCACAACCGCAACCGAAAAAGCATAGAAATCTCAGAACGCATCTCTTTGCCGGGGGGGGGGGGGAGCGTCTCCCAGGGACCTTCCAGGGAGTGAATTTCCAAAGAAAGCGTGTCTCCTGCCCTGTAGCACAATCTATTGACATGCTACTTTGGCAACACTGGAGTGGGTGTAGCACCACATGGCAGCTAACAACCATCTGTAACTCCAGTTCCAGAAGATCCAGCACCCTCTTCTGGTCTCTGTGGGTACCAGGTGCGTGAGCAGTGCATAGATATTCATGCAGACCAAACACCCATATACATAAAATAAATAAACCTATACAAATGGAAATGGGACTGTTGAATATGTGGACAGATACAACTGCCATCGACAAAGCTATGGATTCTGTGTGGTTATACAGTTTCTAGGCAGCCAACTTCAGTTAAAACCTCCCCTGTGGTTTTATTACTTCTCCTAGTTTTCTTACTGAATTAAACTCCTAACTTAATTGAATGCTGAGTTTCAAGAAGAAAGAAAGAAAGAAAGAAAGAAAGAAAGAAAGAAAGAAAGAAAGAAAGAAAGAAAGAAAGAAAGGAAGGAAGGAAGGAAGGAAGGAAGGAAGGAAGGAAGGAAGGAAGAAAGAAAGAAAGAAAGAAAGAAAGAAAGAAAGAAAGAAAGAAAGAAAGAGAGAGAGACACCCAAGTGGGAATGATGTAGAGCATCTGCCAGGATGTGGTATTAAGTGTGAAAAAACCCAGCGCCATCCCAGGGAATCAAACACTTTGAGGAAGAAATGAGAGTCCACAGATTAGGCTCCAAGGGCAAGTTCTGAGATGGGCAAACATTCCTGTCTCCACTTTGAGTCTTGAGACCTTGCCATACTCTAGGGATAACAATGGCAGCCCCAGAGCCAAGGGGCTCCACCCTCAGCCAAGGGATTAAGGGGTACAGATAGGAATCTGGGCCAAATAACACAGCCCCTCCCGTTTCTGTGGAGATGCGATGGAAGGGAAGCCACCTCTAAGAAAAGCTAGGCAGGCTCAGGGTGGGGCAAAAGTGGAAGAAGAATGGGAAATGCACAACTTGGACCTGATGTGGATTCCAGTAATTTACGGGATAGGGCACCTGGGGAATGGAGAACCCCTGAACCATCACTGGGTCCAGCTTCTAAGGCTGGTTTCACATCGAAATTACCTTGAGTGGTAATCTGAGCATTTGGAGTCCCTGCGATGGCACTGGGCTGTTCCACCCTAATGTCACACCCTGGCAAATACTCTACATCAGCGGTTCTCAACCTCCCTAACGCTGTGACCCTTTAGTACAGTTCTTCATGTTATGGTGACACCCCTCCCCCAAAAGCATAAAATTATTTTTGTTACCACCCCATAGCTGCTATTTTGCTATTGTTATGAATCATAATGAAAATATATGATATTCAGAATATCTAATATGAGACATTAAAAAAAGTCATGACCCACGGACAGAAAACTGCTGTTCTGCGTCATTCCTTCTTCCTAGAAACTAAGCACTCAGTTAAGTTGGGAGTTATAGAAGATGGATCTCCAAATGCAACCCTGTCTTATATTAAGTCAGGATGTGAGCACTTACAAATTTCTAAGGCGATATAGACTATCAAATTGGCAAAACAAAACAAACAAAAAACAGACATAATTTAACAACCTGAATGTGCTCACATATTTTGGAAAATGATACCAGTGCCCCGAGGGACACATTAATGATAGATTGGACTCATCACCGAATGTCCTGTTTCCTGGCCAAGTGTCCCTGCCACAGTACTGCCCCTAGCCTGGCACTTGGGATACAGGCATAATACAGCAAAACCCGCAGCAGTTTTTGTGACAGGCAATGCATTCTCAGAGTCTTGACTACAGTTTGGGTGAGGTGTAAGTGTGTTCCCCCAGTCTGTGTGTTGGGGACATGGTCCTCACTGCTTTAATTTAAGACACTGTCAGACCCTTAAGAGGTGTGGCCTAGGAGGTCATTGAAATGCTGCCCTCCAGAAGAGAATGCTGGTCTCTGGAGTGATGCCCTCTGATGTCCCTCATCTCTGATGAGGCAGAGATCTCATTCAAGGTTTCCTGTCTGGTAACATTCCTCTCTCTCTCTCTCTCTCTCTCTCTCTCTCTTCTTTTCTTACTCTCCAACAACTCAACAACATGTGCTGATGTTGACAGCATGGCATTGAGCATCCTGAACCCTGAGTTAAATAAGCTTCTTTCATAGACTAATACCCAGCTATAGTAGCAATAAACTAATATCCAAGATTATTTTTAAAATACACACAAAAAAAGAATTTAATAAAGAGTCTTCTTTGTCTCCCTTCTCCCATCATTCAGCGCTCTCGCCTTTCATCCAACCCCTCTCTGTTTCTAGAAATTTACGTGACACCTCTATGCTCCCCACTCTTTATCTATTAACATAACAAAAACATCGGTCTCATGGAGCCGCTGCGATGAAATGAACACACACGTGACCCGATCTCCGTATCGTAGCACAACTGACACCATGATTGAAGTACCATTCAGGCCCAGGAAAATAGCATGCAGGCAGCAGCATCTGCCAAAATCAGAACAAAAGCCTAATCCATCAAAGTCCATAGTTCAGGGAAAGTTCCTAAAAAAAAAAAAAAAAAAAAAAACTAACCATGCTTTTTGGCTTCTGTAGTTCTGCTTCTGGCTAACTGATCTTGCTAACCAAGGTGTGCCGAGACAGGATGTGTTTTTTGTTGTTGTTGTTGTTTTGTTTTGTTTTTTTGTTTTGTTTTGTTTTGTTTTTTTACTTAAAAGCTCACCCTGAGAAAGGCTCAGGATGGCCCTGAGGTCCCTGATAGCCAGTATAGCTGTTGACCAGCATTTCTATTGGCTTGAATCGTTCCAGGCAGTCTTCTCTGGTGGGTAACTCACAATATGGATGCAGATAGAATA